CAATTGTCAGATTAGATTGGGCAATATTACCACTAGCAGTAATATAGCCTGATGTGTGGGGGCCAAGGGGGGGAGAAATTTAAAACTCTTTCAATGAATGATAATATGTGATATACATCGTCATCGTCTCCCTTGCCGTTTGGATTGCCGAGCGGTAACAATCAACGACATGTGGAAGCAGTTGAGTCAGAGATAGATGCTTCGTTTACAAACAACACAACCGTTTATTAAACACGAAAGAAGCTTACAAGATTTCCGTGATCTTGGAAGTTCTGTGGCAGCTGCGGCCTCTGGGTCTTCCTCTCCTTTCCAAGATAATCCCATTTTGAAGGAGTATCCCTTGTTCGCGAATGAACCATTCCATCACGTCTCGACGACTCCGGGACGATGCGGTCGACTTCCGTTGATGGAAAGATGTCGATCCGAGGTTGGGAGATGGAGACAAAAATGGGTGCGAGACACACACACAACAACAGATCCGTCACTTGGAACTTTCGGGAGAAGAAGCCGTCGCGTCCACGAATTTCCGGGGTTTTATCTGTTTTCTCTCAGATTCCCCTTTCCGATTGGTCTCCCGTCATCACCTGATGACAATTCGAAACCTTTCGGGGGCGCGGGAGAGGTCAAAATCGAAGTTTAATTCGATCTCCAACCGAAAATGGTCGACGGACTTACATTCTTCTATTGTTTAGCGTCGCGTTTTCATAAAATAATCTATTTCTAACTAATATATTATTTTCTTTAAAACAATTATTTTAACGTGAATTTTAGTGAGGGTTCGGACCTGTCCAGAGCCTCACAGATGTAATCTGGCAATCGTTTAGCCAGACACACACAGATCTTGTGTAACTCCAAAGGAAAACAAGAACAACACTTTCTAAGCATTTTGGATTATATTGTTTACAATATAATTCAAAATTGTCCATAGAAAAACTAACTCTTCCATGGCCTGACTAATACAGTTAACCTCCAGTTCAGACAAATACAGAAACTGCAGGAGCTTTTCCACAAAAATCAAGAAACATCAAGATTACATAAAGCTATAAATCTGACAGATAGTAACAACACATTTAAACTTGCACTTTATCTGGACATAGCTCAACACATAAATAACATAGCAGTCACAGGCCCAAAAAGTCCTTCATGGCAGGCATGCAATCAGTATGTTATTGTTTCTGGCAGAATGTGACATTTTCTACAAAATTCATTCATGAATGATGTATTCTGTAGTGTCTTGGTCTCTCCAAACAGACAACCCTTAATCAGCCAGTAATTTGGTTCATCTTTGTCAACATAGTCCTAAGCTAGGTTGTAGGCAAGCTCTTAGCACAAACAGACTATTTACATAAGCATAATCAAATAGCAAATATAATAAGAGCTTGCACAAAAACAGATTATTAAACATCCAGGTATCATACTATGAATATACTCCACAGACAGTACTAGAAAATAATACACACAAAATACACTATGACAGAGCCATAATCACAGATAAAACAATTTATCACAATAGACTTGACATTACTTTCATTGACAAATGCAATATAACTCTTTCTAACCTGTTACCGGTGCGTCTACTAACTCTTAACAAACCAAAACTAATGTTTTCAAACCCCTATAATGGTTCTTCTTCAGGCTTTTTCGAATCTCTAGTGGAACATGCAGCTCATAAAAAACTTTAAATTCGAAATATGTACGTTCGAATGCACGTTTCCCATTTCCGTTGTTGTATGTCATGCGCAGTCGACTCCAAAACAGCTATCATAAATTACCATTCATAAACGCTAGCCACACTGTTGATAATATAATCTCTTCTTTATAATTGATGCATTGATTATCCTTAAGGTTAGCTAAGTATATGCTGGCCGCCTCTAGCCTCTGGAGTCCAGCTATTGGTAGGGCCTCCCAAGCTAAACTGTCTGAAAGGTAGGAGTCAGACTAAGAAGTACTCCAAGCTTCAGTAAGACTCAATGACTCAGACAAAAAAATTAACATATACCAGCTTGGACATTACCTGGGATATCAAAGTCCGTGTTCATGTTAGGTAGAGGTGCATGTCCAAAAATTCTATCACAGTCTCCCAGGACCACCAGTGGAGAAAGCAGCACAGACTCCTGCAAGGCTACTGTAATACTCCCAACATCAAATAGGACCGAGTCAAAACATCTGACCATCCCTGGCCCCCAGTGCTTGAAAGGCAATGACACAGACCACTGAGACAGGAAAACAAAGCAGGTGCATGAAATGGACAATGGAAATAAATGAATATACACTCATTGCCATAAAAATTAGAACACAAAGGACTTGTTGTATCACTGCAAAACTTGGCATGCAGATAATTCTCAAGAAGATATGAAAATGATTAGAGTTATAGCATGATGGCTCATTACATAATTCCAGCAGAGGGCATTAAAGTGTTCCCCCTTGGCCTATAAAAAAGTGCACAAAGACATCCTGTCTGTAGTTTACCTGTTGCAGAGTAATGCAGTATCATTAGAGATCACTATCACTAATCACTGTATCACTATGACTTACCAGCATCACTCTGCAACAGGTAAACTCCTTTACATCACAAAGACCATATGAACAACTAACTAAATTTGAGAGGGGATAGATCATTGGGTTGAGAGAAGCCAGATGGTCATCTCACCAGTCACTTCTAGTAGTGATCCAAGGGGCCATGACAGCCCAGCAATATGTTAGTGATATCCTGCAGCCATGTGTTGCCTCTCATGGCAGGGCTTCCAAGATCCATTTTCCAACAAGACAATGCTCGACCATACACTGCAAAAGTGTCAGAGGACTGTCTCCACCACATTTCCACACCTTCCACACCCAGTCCCGATTTTTCACCAATCAAACATGTCTGGGATTACCTGGGATGCCAAGTTAGACAGTCTAGAAGTATGGCTGATCTAGAGGACTGCTTGCAGCAACTAAGGACTGAAATGCCGCAAGAAACCATACAGCACCTGTAGGCCTCCATACCCTCTCATGCCACATTGTATATTCATGCTAGAGGTGGTCCAACAGGGTACTAAGACCTCCTTTTATTTCTAGTTTTTGTGTTTGATTGATTTTGTAATCACTTAACTTAGATCAATGTTACACTCACACATGTACAATTTCATTTGATTCTAACAACTCTTTCTTGGTGTGCTAATTTTTAAGGCAATGAGTGAATTATGCACACCTACTACACAGTCACAAAACTTGAAATTGACTTCACCTTATACAGACAACACATGCATCAAAGATTCCTGGAAATATACCCACATGTTGTGGCTACTGAACAACGTATGGCGGACTAGCACCATACAATAGTTTGAAATAAACTTATGCCCCCAAGCAAGGCTGAACACCATTAAACATCAAGTAACAGAAGTACTATATAAAAATGATAATATGGAAACACAAATGCTACAACCACAAATACAACGTAATGATAATTGCACATCATCCATCAAACCCACACATTCACAAGAACATACACAAAACACAAATGATGAAATGCTGATCACAGCATTAAATAATACCCTTGAGAAATACCTTTTCAAATATAAAGGCAAAGATCCAATATTAAGACCAAAAACACCCAGAATAAATGCAAGAAAATTCGGAAAATCATACATCATATAAATGCAAATGTATTACCACTTTACACTAAAATACTACTAATTTAAAGGAAACTCACCTATTCATTTATGCAGGAGCTCTAACAGTCACAGCCTGGGATTAAAAGCAATTACTGCTCACTCTCACAAAGCCCTAAACAACAAAATCCCAAGTGGCAAAAGTGCCTTGAATCTGACATTAATTAACTCTGTACAGAGCTAGACTGATACAATATATGAAACTTAATGCAAATATAAAACCAAAGAAACATCAAAACATTTTCAGGAAATTAAAAACACACACTAAACATGAAGAATATAATCATTGTATATCAGAATATGTTGACACACTCAAGCAGAAACTTGCTGTCAAATCTCAAAGACTCAAGAAATAGAAAAGACTGTTTTGTTGCACTGCAGATAAGCAACAAAACAGTCTTTTCCAAAAAATGAAAAAATATTCTATACACAATTACCAAAAAAAATCATCCAAACATGCAACAGTGGACTATCAACACAGGAAACACTTCAAAAGTTCTGGTCATCTCTCCAGAGTGTCCCTGTTAAACATAAATTAGAAGTGAGCTGGCTAAAGACAGAAAGACAGAGAAACACAGAGTTGTTGAACTTCCCCAAATACTACTTTACAGATATTTCAACCTTAGAGTTGACACAGACTCTAATAAACTCCTTCAAATTGAAGAGCATGTGGTGTTGACAAAATCCAAAACTTCAAAAAGTTTACTTCACTCTATCTCTTGTAGAACAAATAACATACACTGGTAAAACACCTATACACTAAACCCAGTTTCCTCATACATCTTTAAATGATAGTTTAAGTAGTGATAACTATAGCATAGTTCCTAAAAAAAGTGAGTTGAAATGTGCAACTTCAACCTCAAATATTATGGTAACTATAGTAAATTTGAAAATATGTTACTCTACAATTTTTGCTTATCTTGATGAGTTCTATCATCCATTTCCAGAAGAACACTTTCTTTTGCAACATTCTGTATATCCATTTTCAAAAACATTCATAGCAGTAATGTTTATTAATTTTAGAAGTTAAATATACCAAATATTCAACAAAAACCATTAGTAAATGGACTAATTGCTTGAGGAATATACAATTTGTTAAAGTGCTAATTTATTTGAGATGTGTAAATAATTGATTTATTTTTTAGCTACTCTCAAAAAGAAAAAAAAAAAAAAAACAACTTTCAACATTTATGTGATGATTACTTATTTTGATCATTTTACATATACTTAGATATAGACTAAGATAGACTAAGGTTAAAGATCACTAAATTAATTCATATTAAAAGTTAAAAATATATATATTTAAAAATACAGCTAGACATCAGANAAAATGAAAAAATTACATTTGTTTTATATCTGGATTGCCAATGTCATTTATAAATTTCCATGTATAGTTCGTTCATGGACACGAAGAGTATCCACTCGTTTAAACCACTTGTTACAAACTTTACATATATAAACTCTTTGAACTGCATCATGAACCATCCGTTGATGTCTACGCAAATTAGTTTGGTGGGAATACTTTGCATTACAATCATTACAAGAAAAGAATTTTCTGCATTTGTGTGTTGTAATGGATTTTGTCAACATTTCTTCAGCTTCATATAATGTACCATCATGACCTGAAAGATAGGATTTATTATTATTATTAAATAAATTTTTAATTGATTATGTTCACTTAGTCAGTCTTTAAATAATAAATTTTTTCTTATTTTCAGATGTATAATAATTTAATATTCAGTGACATTTATCTGTTATTACAGTAAAATGAAAACATTATTTCTTCTATTAAAGAAGACTGAAAATCAAGAATTCTTGATTGTCAAATATCTCATACTAGTTTGAAAACTATATAATCTATATACTGTGAATAATGTATGTAGATTAGTAATGTAGTGTAATTAGAAATAAGACAAACTGTTAATATACTTAATTTAAAATTTTTGAAATTTTATTTACTCTCTTTAAATAAACACAATATAAAAATTTTTTAAGATATATAAAATGAAGATTTAAAGAAATCAGTATTATTAAAAGTATAAACTTAAAATAAATCATTCTGAAAAATTTTGAATTTATCACAATATATTAAAAAAATTACTTCTACATAAAAAGTTTCAATTAACTTGTTCTAAGATGCACACTAAAATCTGAAATATTGTTATTCACACACACATTTGATATTTAAGTGGATTATTTTCTTTAAAAAAGTATGATATTTTCACCTGATATTTCAATCATGCATTTTATTTTCCTTTTTTTTCCAGTTGCTGTAAAACAGATAATTCAGATTATAATCAAAAATCAAAACAGGAAAAAAATTGACATCTGCATAAAATTATAATTCTACATAAATATGTGATAATAAAAATATCTGATAATACATAAAATATTTCCCTCTCTACAAAAAATAATCATCTTATCATCTTATTATCAAGTATCATAAGAGAATACAGAGATAGGCGGTCAGGAAAATTACTATTTCCTAAAGTGCATAAAATTAATGCATTTTAGGAGATAGCTAGGAGAACCTCTGCATCCAATGATTTAAATTTTATGGGTCAAAAAAACAATTTTTTTTAACTACTAAAAGGAATACACAAGAGAGCTAAAAAATTCAAATTACAAATTTGTAAAGGAACCAGTTATGCATAAAACAATTCTCACTTCAAATTTATTTATGAATATTTCTGTAACATAGTTATCTATTTTTTATCTTTTATAACAAACATTAAATTGATGTCATTAATAAGGCATATCTTAAATTCTCTTTTCAAGCCTATAAATTAAAGTTCTTATCCTAAATATATTCAATAATGAAATAATAAAACTTGAATTATTCTAAAAGTTCAGTATAATTCTAAATTAGAACTGTGATATAAGTAAAAATAAAGTCCACTATACTAGTTTATTTGCTATAGAAAGTAAAAAAATTAAACTGATCAGTTTTTAATATAATTTCCATTAGTTAGATATGTATAAACTAACTAATTATGTTATACATACATAATTAGTTTATACATAACTAACTAGTTATGTGTAAACTAACTAATGGACATTATGACTAAAACTATGAGTTTATTTTACAGTTCTATTTTTGAGGTTTCCCTCTTCCTATGTTCAATGAATAAAATGTTAGTAAATTATTTTAAGAACAAATCCAATAATGATCAAGATAATCATTACTAATCATGTTACTGGAAATATATCTATTTAATAACATAAATAGACATACTTTCATTTCAGAATTTGCTTTTCTCTAAAATATTTCAAATCTCAATAACTTTAAAGTAATCTTCTATTAACTGATAAATATTTAAAATGTAAGTTTTCTTTCCACCCTGAAGGTAAATTTTTAGAACCTTTTCAATTTCATTTTTTATAATCCATAAATTCAAATATAGTAAAATCAATAATAGCGAGGTTGTGACTGAAGTTTTCAATGCAAAAATGTGAATGCCAGATGATCAGTGCTACCTTCCTGTAAGCCTAGAAGTTTGACAATGGCATTTGGAATGTCAGTGAAATCATGTTCAATGTTCCAAATGACATTGTCAAACTTCTAGGCTTATAGGAAGGCAGTGCTGAACGTCCGACATTCACATTTTCGCATTGAAAACTTTGGCCGCAACCTCGCTATTAAGAAAGAAAATGATTTATTTAACATGTTTTTGATTTAGAGAAATAGACAAAGTTATATTAATCTTTTCACTCATTTCATAAAATATATAAATCTTTGATTTAGAATATTACAACATATATAAAAATAATATAAGCTGATAAAGTTTTACTGTTTTGGTATAATAGTAATCTTACATATTTAATTTAAATACTATATACTATATATATAGTTAGTATTATATATATATTTTAAAATTTTAAAGAAAAAATATAAAATACTGCTATTGACAGAAAGAAATTCATAAAATAAAATACTTAACAATTTATTAGATTTTACTATTTAAATAAAATGATAGAAGCATATCCTATTTAAAAAATTTTAAATTAATTTTTTGTAAATCAAAATAAAAATAAGTTATTAATACTTACTAATGCAGGCATGTAACTTAAATTATTTATCTTTTAAATTATTACATAAACTGTTAATAAAACATAAATTTAATTTAATAAAAATAAAATATCAATGAAAAACTTCTAATATTCCTATTTGAAAATTAGATTATTAGCGATTCACTCACTTCTCACTTTTTATTTAAATATTCATTTCATACATTATTAGAATCCATTGATAACAGTTTCTTTCAGGTTGCTTTCAGACAAGCCACTCAGCTGTATTTACCAGGGACCAATGATGCTATCTTGAGATATGTTCTAGTCTTGAGAGCATTGTAAAAATGTCTCAATCTCATCTTGATCTTTTGAAGTAATGTTTCAGTCTTCATGCATGACAAAGCTTGGCACCATCTTTACTAATTCAACCATGTCAACAATCACTTACCAAAATCTTTATTAATTATAATTATATTTTACAAACTTTATTAGGGGAAATTGACGATGGCTAAACGATAGTCAAAAACATTTTTTCTACATTAATGATTACAAATTTATCTTCCTTAAAAAATCAATTGTTGAAGTGGTCAAATTAATGTCTGTTTCATCTTGGTCTTATTGGCAGTGTCTTGTATTGATCAGCATTCTTTTTTAACTGTTTGGTATTTTACAGAATTTTATTACAGTAACAGTATTAGAGTATTGAGCTTTTTTTTATATAAATGTTTTCCAAAAATAAAAGTTATCTTGAATGTTTAAAATCAAATCTAATGAGGAAAATAAAATACATTTCTTATAAAGATTATGAATATTTACGAACATCTTTACTTTTGCTATTACTTCAGTTTCATAAATACAGGTGCTCCCCTACTTACTAATGTTCAACTTAAGAACAATTTGACCATAAGTCTAAAAATTTAAATTTCATGTAGATTCTGGGATTCTCTTGACTCATTGAAGTCAGTCTTTACAGTAATAAATAAATAAAATTTTAAATAAAGTAATGTGGGCTTATTTCTAATGTGTATCATCATTTTTCATTTTCACAGAAATTCTGAGGTTCCATAGCCCTCATGAGATGGCATTGAATTATTTTTTCGATAAATTTTTTCACAGTATTTTTCATTATTGTTTGAAATTTTTACAAATTTTTATGATTAGTGCTTCAAAAATGCATCTAAAACATAATATTAAATCCAGCAGTGAAAATAAATACAAAAAGTGTTGCTCTATTACCATGCAAACTAAACTGGACATTATAAAAATAAGTTTGTCAGGTAAAAAAACCATGTTTGAAACACCTGCTACTAAACAGTAGCAATTAAGTAAATGAGTATAATGTATTCTATTAAGTTCATTGAAGAATCAAACATTAACAATAAGTGGTTATTCTGTGTATAAATGTACTTTCTAGGTTGTTTTCAACTTACAACAAAACCTTAGGAATCTAACCTGTTCGTAAGTAAGAGAGAATCTTATCTTATAATCAGTGACATAAGAATGAATGTTTTGTTGACTAGTCAAATAAAAACAAATAGTCTGGTCAACAGTGTTCATTTTTCACAATAAAATATTTTTTCTTTATACAATATTTTCTGCTTTGTAAATTACGTTTTATGTAAAGATTCTGGAAAGTGTTTAAATTCTTGTGAGTTAAAGAAAAACTTCATAAGATATCAAGATCTTGTGCCTTGGCTTTGAATTACAAGTCTTGGGCTTTGTCTTGATATTGAAAGTTAGGATCTTGTTTAACATCTCTCCCAATGACTCAGATGTGTTACTAAGTGACATCATTTACTGTTCCTTGTGAAAAGCTCCATATAATTCAATAGCAGCCACTTATGGCAGAGATTTGCATCTTCTGCCACAGACGCACGCTAATGTTCATATGAAAACATACCTTCAAAATACAAGGATTTTAATGGGTAAGTTAAAGGACACAACCAAGTGGCCTGTCTGAAAACAGCTACACTAATCACTGTTACCAGCCTTAGTATTGAGAAAATATTTTTTTAAATCTTAAAAATTGTTTGAAATTTATTCAATTCTGAAAAGTAAAATATAAAAATATTTTTATAATGTAAAATTAACATAAAAGAAAAAAAATCAAAAATAAATTATATTCAAGTTTCTATTAGAAATCTTTGTAAAAGAATCTGCAAAGTTATCAACTTCCATCATTGATGATATTCTATAAATATGAAAAATTTAGCTTAAAAAATTAAGACAAATCTTTGTTTTTAATGAAAAGTAAAACAAGCCTTTCTTTTAACAAAACATAAATCGAAAGCAAGATAACTGATTCATATCTATCACTAATTAAAAATAGTAGTAGTGCCTTTACTAAAAAGTACCAATTTACTAAAAGTAAATTTCATTTATTTAAAAAAAATTTTTTTTTACAAAAGTAAGATCTATAAGTAATAACAAGTCTCATATTGAATTTTTAATAAAAATGAAAAAGGTTTTACTTTATAACATTTAAAAATAATCTCAGTATTTTTAGAATCATCATAAGCAGTTAATGATTGTAAAAAACAGACATGATAAAAAATATATAACTTTTTTTATTTTTCTTAATGGATGTATAATCTAAATTATTAATTTTCAATAAAATAGTCCAATTCAATTGTGTAAATTATTTCATACCACTTTTTTTTCTTATCTTCATATATCTTCTAAATGTACTATACAAGAGTAAGAGTTATTGTATCTTATGATAATAAAATACATTAATTCTGGAAACATTTAAAACAAGATTAAAGTTCTTTCAGAAATTCTATTAAGATTAAACATAAACAAATATCATGAAACCCGACAAGTTTGTAAAGCCAAACAACCACTGGATTACATTGGGTTACTTTTTCCGTGATTATATTTTAGAATATAAAATATGCCCAATGTAATGAAAAAGTAGTTCAATGTAATCCAGTGGTTGTTTGGCTTTACAAATTTATCAGGTTTTATAATGTTTGTTTATGTTTAAATTAATATATACCATGCTGGAGTTGAGTGATGGCTAGCAGAGTGCCATAAGTAGAAATTTATTGAATGAGGGCACTGAAGGCATCCCCAGTCAGCATTGTAAATAACTGAGTATGGTTATATCATATTTAAATATGCCTGGAAGAGGAGATCAGACTGGAGGCTCGGGTAGTGTAAATGGCAACGCATCTGCATGGTCCAGAGCAGGACTCAAACCTGCATGGGATTTGTGGGTTTGAGTCCCACTCTGAACAGATTCTTTTATTCCAGAATATTCTAAATTATTTAATATTAATAATTAGGTGCCATCTCTTATTTAATAATAAGAGATGGCACCTAATGCCTCCTTCTAATGACAAATTATTTAGTAATTAATTAAAATATAATTGCAGAAAACTAGCTTAATGTAATCTGGTGATTGTTTGGCTCTATTAAGATTAAAATTTTAAAATTAATAAACATAAAAAGAAAAAATTTAAGAAATTAATTTGGGATACATTGATGTAGGTTTTTGTCATCTTTATCCTGATTAATCATATTCTTGTAGAATCACATACTGAGAAGTGTTTTCTATGTGAATATTGTTGGTATTGTGTTGTAGTCTGGTCTGGCATTATTTCGTGCTTGGACATCATTTGTGTCACCAATTCTTCTCCCTCTTTTCATTCAAACTTGGGATAAGCCATTGCTACCAAGCACTGAATAAAGTTTGTGAACAACNAGTGCCAGCCCGAGGGAAGTTTTAGAATGGAGCAAGATCCTATTATGGCGCCCCCTGGTTGCCCCTAATTTATACCCTTTAATTTTCTTTACCACTGAGGCGCCCCCTAGAACTTAGCGCCTGGAGCAGCTGCTTCATTCGCCCTATAGTAGGGCCGACTCTGAGTGCTGGTAAATGGCAAAACTGCAGTTGCTATGACAACCATTGTTGGACCATCAAAGGCAACACCAGCAGTGCTAGTGTAAATCCAGCTTGAAATGAACATTTGAAAAAGACTAATTTTGATTTAAATGTATAGGGAGTATATATACCAAAGCTGTGGAGTCGGTAGATTTTTACATGACTCAGACTCTGACCAGGGGCTGACTTGTTAACAAAGTAGGCCCGAAAATTCTAAACTAGCTTAATGTAATCTGGTGATTGTTTGGCTCTATTAAGATTAAAATTTTAAAATTAATAAACATAAAAAGAAAAAATTTAAGAAATTAATTTGGGATACATTGATGTAGGTTTTTGTCATCTTTATCCTGATTAATCATATTCTTGTAGAATCACATACTGAGAAGTGTTTTCTATGTGAATATTGTTGGTATTGTGTTGTAGTCTGGTCTGGCATTATTTCGTGCTTGGACATCATTTGTGTCACCAATTCTTCTCCCTCTTTTCATTCAAACTTGGGATAAGCCATTGCTACCAAGCACTGAATAAAATTTGTGAACAACACCAGAAATTTCTTGTCATTTCTGAATGAAGTATTGTCAGATTTTATACTACTGAACTTCAGCAATATAGATATACTACTCAAAAACCTTATAAACTGCAGCCAAATTTATTATCAATTTCAAACATTTTCAGTCATCTTTAATGACCTTTATCACAAACGAAAATCGAATGCTGACTGATTTGTATTAACAATAAATGTGTTTTGGAACTCTTTTTTAAAAAACTTTTAGTGTACAATCTCATGCCGTTGGGTTACCATTATAAGTGGGAATACAATAAAATAAAATAAAAAATGATAAGATACATCAATAAATACATAGATGAAAAATAAAGTAAAATAAAAATATTAAAACACAACCATAAAAGAAAAGCAAAAACAGATTGCACTCTTAATATGCATGCTTTTCTAAATGTCATCTCGCTATTTACTGTCACTTCACTATAGTTCTTTCCTGTTGAAACTTTACATTACACTTGATCTCTATGCTGCCAATATCTTAATTGCTTCTCTAAAGTTGATTGCTTGTCCTTATTGATTGGTTTTGTAAATATGCCAAGCTTCTGCATACTTCAGGTGTATTTTGTCATGAATTTTTTGTATCAAACTTGCTTTATTCCATTCCGCTATAACTTCTGGAGGGTCTGCTAGAATGTATGTTGCTAGCACTGTGACTGGCTGCTCATTTCTTATGTTTCTTTTGTGCTCCATCAGTCTTTCTTTGAGCGATCTCCCTGTAGCTTCAATGTAAAACAGCTCTTTCTGCCACCTTTTATCTGTTATTGGAATTCTATATACTCCGGAAAGAAAATTTTGATCTACTTTCTCTTTGTCTGCTCTTAACATTTGATAAACTGATGGATTCCTTTTGTAAATTATTTTTTTGTTTGTTACTGCTCCAATTCTTTTGTAGACATTGTTTAGCGGGGCCCCTGTATTCCATCACTGTATACTCTTCTATTTTATTTCTTATATTCAGCTTGTTGTTGCCTGTTTTTGTTTTGCTGGTTACAGCCTTAATATTAACCTCAAATTGCCTTGCAAGGTTTTTGATATATTGCAGCTCTTCATTTCTATCTTGCATTTTGCTACAGTGAGTCATTCTGGGCAAACTTGCAGCATTCCGGGCTGTCATAGCAAGAGCCTGGAATGCTGCAAGTTTATATGTTGCTGGGTTATGTTAATTCCACAATATAAACAATGGGTTGCATGTAGGCTTTTTGTAAATTTTTGTAATTATATTCAGCAATATGACAGTAACTGGATGTGTAAAGCAACAGTCAACCATTGTTCATCCATTGACATATGTCTAGTTTGATCATTTTAAAAGCAGGATATAGTGAATATTATAGAGAATATAAATTTCAAATATAGAGAGAACTAAAACAAACATAACTGGATGAAATAGTAAAAATAAACAAATCTTAGTTTCTTTTTCATCCAGAAACCATAAAAAGCTTGGCATGAGTTTTTAAATTTAATTTTTTACATGGCCATGACTGTTTTTTCTTTATTAAATTGTTAAATATTCCATTGAAAATAGCCAAAATGTAGGGCATTCCTTAAAATTCTCCATCTTTTAAACATTATAAGAGAGATAGAAAGAGAGAGAATTATTAATTGGCAATCAAAACTTAAAAAAAATGACATCAAAAATTGGAGCACGGGCAAATACAGTTTTACAAAGAGAAAAAATTCATTAACAATGTATTTGTTTGCTTCATGGTTTTAAATTTATTTTTTTAAAAAAACGCTCAAGTTTACGAAAAGTTCGTGGAATTTTTGATGTCACACTATATCAATATAAACATATCTACAGTTTAAAGACCGTATAAATGATTCTTTTCTTGTTTAAGAATCTGAATTCAAAACTTGTACAATATAGAAGCCTTTAAAATCTAAGTAATTTTGTTTTTCTTTTAAGGAGACATGTAGGACGAATAGGACTTCTCTTTTTTTTTTCTTTTTCTTTTCCGGATAAATTGTGCGGTAGGAAATCAGTAGAATGGACGTTGGGAGAAGTGCAGAATGAGTATCGTGTTAAAGTACACAAAGTATGGGACAGAAAAAGGTGGAAGCCCATAAATCAAGGCAGTGGTTTAGCATATCTTGAGTACACGACTCAAGTGGGATCAGTTTGCAAGATATATTATACATATATTTATATATATATATAAATTTGTTTTAATTAATTCAGGTACTTGTTTGGAATCAAAAATACATCGATTCCTTAATGCAATACACCTGATAATAACATTAGCACAACGATATTGCACAATTCCTGTTCATTTATAACAGTAACAATTTCATAACAGTTTCTTTGGTGAGTTGTGACTATCGTTCTGCCTATTCAAAGACAAAACGATTTGTTGTTGATGTTGTTGGTTTTTTTTATAGTAATAGCAATAATAATATTATAATAATAATATACGATACCTCATTGTACTAACTGTAATAATAATTATGAGAAATTGGTGCTCGTGGATGGGAGTCANGTTTACACGTTTAAAACGTGCGCCTCAACCTCTCTAATAAGTGAAGATGAAATAAGACAGATGGTCTTAAATCATCACTTCATTTATGCAGGAACATCAATAAAAATACATATTCATAACTATGACTTATAAATAATTAAATTGTCTATACCAACCCTTCACTAATTTTTCATTTATAGGTCTATTTTTTCTAGATACACAAAACTCTTCATGCCAATATGCATTTTTAATGGTGTGTATACAGGAATACAATAAGGCTGGATTCACACTAGCACTGTCAGCACTGGTTTTGACAATCCAAAAACATTTCAGGTATATGTTGGTTTGGCAAAACAAATATTCATTTATACTTCAGCTGATCACCATCAACAATTATTCTGCAAAGCAAATAGGTAATGTTCTACTGAAGAAATTAGTCCAATTAGAATAGAGAAAACTTTGCATAAAACAAAATGGAAATAAAAAAACAGAATGAGAAACAATAAAGCACATAGCATGTGGTTTCAGAATGTGTAATGTGGTCAATTGAATGACATTTATATGAGGACAAAATGAGCTTCATCACATTGGATAAAGGTAGAATTGCTAGGCCAGGTGACTGACAAAAGTCTAACTCAACTAAATGGCACCAGTGCTGTCAGTGCCAGCCCGAGGGAAGTTTTAGAATGGAGCAAGATCCTATTATGGCGCCCCCTGGTTGCCCCTAATTTATACCCTTTAATTTTCTTTACCACTGAGGCGCCCCCTAGAACTTAGCGCCTGGAGCGGCTGCTTCATTCGCCCTATAGTAGGGCCGACTCTGAGTGCTGGTAAATGGCAAAACTGCAGTTGCTATGACAACCATTGTTGGACCATCAAAGGCAACACCAGCAGTGCTAGTGTAAATCCAGCTTGAAATGAACATTTGAAAAAGACTAATTTTGATTTAAATGTATAGGGAGTATATATACCAAAGCTGTGGAGTCGGTAGATTTTTACATGACTCAGACTCTGACCAGGGGCTGACTTGTTAACAAAGTAGGCCCGAAAATTCTGACGTCATCATATAACCTCAGAACAGCTTCAATAAATATAGTTCTAATAAAGATAGAATGTAGAAATTTTTTTATTCCAAAGCTAAAATACTCCTCTAAGTATTGACATTGTCAATATATAAATATGTATTCGATAATTTTTACTTTTCTGGCTGTTATATAAACAGAGGAAAAATGTAGCGATTTGTCAAAAAATGATCCCACCCCATATTTTTGCATTTTTGGACTCAGGACACCTCGAAATGTCGAGATATGCAAAAGATTCAGGTTTTTTTTCTGTATGTATGAATGTTAGACTGTGAGGGAGGCATGATTTTGAATTGGAGTCTGATGGTTTAACACAAGAATTATTAAGCTTCAAAATGGTTGAACTAAATCAGTTGGTACACATTCCAACATCCGTGCGTACAGAAAAAATCCCAAATGCTTTTGCACTTCTCTACGTTTCAAGGCTTCCTGAGTCCAAAAGAGTAAAAATCTGGGCAAGACATTTTTTGACTGATTGTCATTCTTTTCCTTTGTTATAGGCCTATACTGTATAACTGCCAAAAAAGTAATAACGATGACGATTCTGATTATTTTTTAAAAATACAAAGTAAAACGATTTTTAAAAACTAATTAAACATTAAAATTTGACACATCTACTGAATATATAAATTCACATTTATTGATGTGTTTGATGATGGCAATGGTATTTGGTAAGCATGTATGAATAAAATAGTAAATACATTTGTACACAAACAAATTAGTTCAATAAAAATGTTGTACATAATATATGAGTATATTGGGTAATATTAAACTAAGTCAAGAATGAAAAATATAACATTTAGAATAATAAAGAAAAAAGTTGTTTATTTTGCCATGTTGATTAATTTATTATTTTTTATCTCTGTTATAAACTGAATTACTCCTATGAATACTATGATACGCTTCTTGTCTATGAATGGTCTTCTGAATGGCTTGTGAGCACTAAAATTAGCTTTACTTTACCGCTAGACTTATTACACCACCACAGGGCATCAAATTAGACTTAGAAAAACACTATTTTATTTTTATAATGCATTTTGGACATGGAGTCCCTCATCAGCTTTTTTCTACAAAAAAATATTAGGAAGTTAACAATTTTTATAAAAAGACCGTGATTGACAGAAATGAACAAAGAATGTGGACTTACATTTGACATATGGATTCGATGTGTTGAACATTAATGAAAAGACTAAGCACACGATAAATCAAAATTTTCCATTAAAAACAGTAATGTTGATACAATAACATAATAGCAAACTGAGGTTCTGGTAAAACAGTAAAGTCGTAAAATTATATATTGTTAAAACAAAATGATGAGTAGATTCACAGTAACATGAAAGACAATTCACAGTAGAGTAACAAGACAATTCGTAGGACATTCCAGGACATATCTCTGCCATAGCACACAACAATGATAGCTCAGCTGTAGCTGCCAACTGTAATAATGAAGGCTGTCAGATTGTAAAGGATACTGTCAAAATACTCAAAAAGGGGGAAAAAAATACCTATAAAAGAAGATGGTACAAACACTTAGAAATAATAAAAAACAAAGAGAAAATCATGAATAACAACTCCAGTCAAAAATTACATGAGTCGTGGTATGCATATTTGACCAGAGGAAGCATGGGGGAGGGGAGAGGTGTGAAAATGGAGAAGGGTGAGGGTGACGGTTAGCCTGGAATGTCCTTCGAATCATCTTGTTACTCTGTTCATGTTACTGTGAATCTACTCATCATTTTGTTTTAACAATGTATAATTTTATGACTTTACTGTTTTACCAGAACCTGTTTGCTATTATGTTATTGTATCAACATTACCGTTTTTAATGAAAAATTTTGACTTATTGCGTCTTAGTCTTTTAATTAATGTTCAACACATCCAATCCATATGTCAAATGTAAGTCCACATTCTTTGTTCATTTCTGTCAATCACGGTCTTTTTATAAAAATTGTTAACTTCCTAATATTTTTTGTAGAAAAAAGCTGATGAGGAACTCCATGTCCGAAATGCATTCTAAAAATAAAATAGTGTTTTTCTAAGTCTAATTTGATGCCCTGTGGTGGTGTAATAAGTCTAGTGGTAAAGTAAAGCCAATTTTAGTGCTCACAAGCCATCCATGAATTACTCCTTACAAAAAAAAAATAATTTCTATTAAATCAGAATTCACTGAAGCTCTTAAATCGTATTTAATAATTTTAAGAGTGGAAAATAAATGCTCTACTAAAACTTGGTAGGTGGCAATGCTGTGACAATCAATGCTGTATCTTGGATAATGTCTGAATAGTGCAGTATTGCCATTTTAACATCCAAACTTGAAGAGTGGTCAATGTGATTTATTTTTTCCAGTGCATAGTAAATATCATCTTCAAATTTTGTGAGATTTCCTTTTCTGTCTGTACTCATATTAGAACTCAAGCTTAATCTTGAGGGTAAACACGAGTTTTATAAAAGAAAAACTAGCAGATAAACCAGATGTTGCTTGGGCAAAAAGTAACAAGAATGAAGATTAAAATTATTATAGCCGATCTAACCCATTTTCACTGGGTGCAAAAATTAGGTCCCCCTCTTCCGAAATTAAATAGATAATTTTTAGATGGATCTAAAAGTATGTTCAATTTTTTGCAAAAATGCAAAAAACCACATCTAAAATAGCACAGTAGAAATGGAGTTCTTCAGGGTACCCTCTCCTTCTCCCCCATGAGAGGAATTTCGAAAAATCCCTTCTTAGTGTACATTCTTATGACATATCCTAACTGTGTACCAAATTTCAACTTTCAACTCCTAACCGTTTAAACTCTAAGCTTATTATTATTATTGTGTTGGGTTTAGTGGATTACTCGATTCACACTGGTGGCTGTGTACTATGCTGGACCAGAGTCAAGGCATAGCAACCAAAACAGAACTAAAATTAAATAAGTGAGTGTCTGTATTCAGGAATTTCCTAACAATATGGCATGAATTCAATATAGTGGCCTTCTGTAGTGTGATGTATGTATTTCTATTCAATTGTAATGTTCCCAGACTTTTGTGTAGTGTGTGTGGTATCACACCTGTACAGGAGAGAATGACAGGTACAGTACAATAAGCATGCTATCCATCCTCCACAGATGCATTATTTCCTGGGGAGTTCTGTGTACTTGCTAATTTTTTCAGTGCATGTGTTTTGTACATTGTGAGTGTTTGGAACAGATATGTGTATAATGTATGTGGTTTTATTGTGATTGTCAATGAGTGTGATGTCTGGTCTGTTGTAATAAATTGTTTTATCTGTGATTATGGCTCTGTTGTAGTACATTTTGTGCGTGTTGTTTTCTAATACTGTCTGTGGAATATACTTGTAGTATGGTTCGTGAATGTCTACCAAGTTGTGTTTCTTTGCAAGCTCTTGGTGTATTATATTTGCTACTTGATTATGTCTGTGTAAATAATCTGTCTGTGCCAAGAGGTTGCACCCAGATGTAATGTGTTGTATAGTTTCTGGCATGATGTGACATTTTCTGCATGTGTCATTTGTGAGTGTTGTATCTTTGAGTATGTGTTTTCTGTAGTTTTTAGTATTTATGACCTGATCCTGTATGGCAATCATGAATCCTTCCGTCTCCCCAAAGAGGCATCCCCGATCTAACCAGCTGTTTGACGCAGTTTTGTCAACAAAATCCTGGGCCAGGTCATAAGGATGCCTGCCATGGAGTGCCTTTCGAGCCCACGATTGCTTGATGGTGTCTATGCTTTTTATGTGTTGTGTCATGTCTGTATGATGTGAGTGTAAGTTTAATGGTGTGTTATTTGAGTCTGCTAGAGTTACTGCTTTATGTAACTGTGATGTTTCTTGTTTCTTGTAGAAAAACTCTCGCAGTGACTGTATTTGTTTGTAGTGAAGGTTAACTATGTCAATCAGGCCACGTCCGCCTTCTTTACGTGGAAGGGTTAATC